CTCCCCACACTCTCCCCACCCCCACACTCTCTTCCACCTCACCACACCGTGTGCAGTGCAAGCCGAAGCCGACCGGAAATGTGGTGACATTAAGAGCCGTGCACCGGAAGTAGTGAGTGGAGACGGCCAACAGATCACGTGACACGCCACTGCCTGGCTCACTGCCAAAACCTTTTATCTGTTGTACGCTATGTACCAGAGCCAAAACCTTCTATCTGTTGTACACTATGTACCACAGCCAAAACCTTCTATCTGTTGTACACTATGCACCAGAGCCAAAACCTTGTATCTGTTGTACGCTATGTACCAGAGCCAAAACCTTGTATCTGTTGTACGCTATGTACCAGACCCAAAACCTCGTATCTGTTGTACGCTATGTACCACTGCCAAAACATTCTATATGTTGTACACTATGTACCAAAGCCAAAACCTTTTATCTGTAGTACGCTATGTACAACTGCCAAAAAGCTTCTATCTGAAACATGAGCATTGTACTGGAGAAAAAAGGTTCTTCAGCATGTCCACGTTCGTCAGTACGCGTTATATAAAATTTAGCTCATTTTTTAATTTACCTATGCCCACAAAACTTTGCTCATAAAATGTTGATCAAGTAATAAAAGTATTTCCCTATAAAAGTGTTTCTCTATATCAAACACCACCAACAAAAAACCCACCCCCAAAGATAAACAAAACAAAACATAATAATAAAAAATAAAACAGGACACAACATACACCCCTCCCCCAAACACCAAACAAACAACAACATACAACACACACAGGCCAACGACACACAACACACAACTCATTTTAAAAACATCCTCACAAATAGGCTATAGAGCCTACAGAAAAGAAAGCTACACACGACATACAAAAAACCCCAGCAACAAAAAACAAAAAACAAACACACTACACACAACACAACACACAACACATACAACACACAACACACAACACACATCCCACTCACTATAAGTCTGAGTCTGCCATATGGCGTCACACAGACCCACACAGCACACAACACACAACAAAACACACAACACATGACACAACACACATCCCACTCACTATAAGTCTGGGTCTGCCATATGGCGTCACACAGACGCAGACATGCGGTCACAAAGTAGAACAACACACGACACAACACACAACACACACGACACATCCCACTCACTATAAGTCTGGGTCTGCCATATGGCGTCACACAGACCCAGACAGGCGGCCACAACGTAGAAGTTTGGCACGTCCTGTTGTTGCGGCCGCCACAGCCAGAGCACGATGAGCAGACCCACGTTAAAGGTGGCGCCCGCGGCGATGAAGGCGAACCGTTTGATGTGTGTGGAGAAACAGCCGATAGTGATGGACGACACGGCGCTCACCGTGCCGAAACAGATGAGGATCGGGCCGATCTTGTGCATGCCCATAGCGCAATTCACGTACGCCTGAGGGAGATTTAAAAAAAAATCGTTTTAGTAAGAGTTTTACGGCACTTGCAACACAATAAGGTCATATAAGTGCCGGAGGTTAGAGGTGTTACAAGAAAGTAACAAACACAAAACAGAGGGAGGAGAGAGCAGGACGATGGATGTTTGATAGGAAAGAAGGAACAAACCATACCAGAGCATCCTGATCAGTCAATCAGTCATTCAGCCAACCAGTCGATCAGTCAATCAGTCAGTCAGTTAGTCAGTCAATCAGTCATTCAGCCAATCAGTCTACGAGTCAATCAATCAATCAAGCAAACACCGTATCGATCACTGGGTGGAAATCTGGGTTACAATGGTAAACATACATACGTATGTACACATACCCACATACACACATACACACACAGACACATACACACATACACACATACACACACATAAGCATACGGATACACATAATATACACACACGTACACATACACGCATGCATACAAACGTACACAAAATCACACATACGCTAAAACATACTTACAAATCATCATCTCTAGCTCTTGCCTACATACATACGTGCACACATACACACACAACACACACACACACATAGATACACACACACACACACATAGACTCACACACACACACACACACAAACATGTACACACACACAAACATATAGACACATGCACACACGCACATACGCACATACACACAAACATATTGTTAGTTTGTCTGTCTGTGGAGGACTGGCCCTACAACCGGTTCCCCGAAAACCAAACCACACTGAGCGTGTCGCGACGTGATGGAATCAGGCGCTCGTCAATTTTGGGGCATATGGGGTTATCGATATCATCTTAAAGCCTGTTCATTTGCCTTTCTTTTGGTCAAACAAATATCCATCTATGTTGAATAAAAGTCGAAATATTTGCGATTGAAGGAAGTCAGGGTCGCCTGGTTTCAGAGGTGAAAATATAGAGAAAATGGTTTGGTAACTCCCATAGCCTGAGAGTCCTTGAAACTGAAAATTGACATTTTGTGTGCCTTCAATTAATGTGTTTCGGTATAATCCACTCTAAAATATGCTTTTAAATGGAAATAAAAGGTTTTGGGTTTTAAAAAAAGAAGAAGAAAATAACAAAGAAATTGCCCATCAGCCCCAAAAATGCTGATTTTTA